GACCGAGAGCTCCTTTCTTATGCCTGTTTCCAAGCCAGTAAGTCCATTCTATAACTGCAAGATGTTCTTTCAAAAGTTTCTCAGTTTGGTTTCCCTTAAGGTGCCAAATTATTGATTTGTAGTTAATCATGATTACAACACTTGGAATTGTGTGAGTTTTTTGGCCTGTCACTTTAACTGCAGATCTATATGAAGAACACATGAACATCATTAATAACTCAGAAGTCATGATGATTGAGATACCTTAGTTGATGCATTAATTAAGGTATTGTTCCTGCATTAAGCCATGCATGAGATACCATTAATACCTGTACATTACTGATAGTTCATGAAGTACTACATGAATGAATTCATGCTTTTTCATGCATTAAGTCATGATGATTCATGTACCCTTACCGTAAAGTGTTACCGATTTTAATTTGACTGTATGCGTTGTAAAAGTGAGGTTTTTATTTAGTAATTTCTCTGATTGGCTGGCAGGGAAAATGTGTCCTGCGTGGGTATTAGCGGCTGTGGCGCTGGTGAGCGTGGCCAGAGGAGCTGTGAGTCAGTGCTGGGAACATCCGAGCTGTCAGGACATCAACTCTGACAGGAGCATCATGGTAACACACACACACACACACACACACACACACACACACACACACACACACACACACACACACACACACACACACACACACACACACAATAAAGTCTGTATAGTGCAATATATCTTTATTTGGATAATTAAATAATCAGTGTTGGAAGAAGTACTCAGATCCATTAATGGAGTAAAACAAATATGGTCTAAAAATACTCCATTACAAGTCAAAGTTGTGATTTCATATGTAAGTAAAAGTACAAAAGTAAGCATCAAAATATACTTTAAGTAGAAGAAGTAAAAGTACTTGTTATTATCTCACAGTATTATATTACTATTTCATCCTGTTTTTATACATGTAAGAGTATTTTAGTATTGTAGATTGGAAACCTTACCAAATTAGGATACCGTGTAGTACTGTAGTGCATTATACTAAATCAGCATATCATGTGTTTTTTCTATGAACAAAGTAACTGTGAGTGTTAAATAAATGTTTTTTAAAAAGTACAATATTCACCTCTGAAATGTAGTGGAGTAGATAAGGTATAAAGTAGCATTAAATGGAAATACTCAATTGAAGTACAAATATGTACAAAAAAGTACAATACTTGAGTAAATGTTACTTTCCATCACTGGCAATTACCTTTATCCGGATGGAAGATGTTGCCATATCGCCCTTTCTTAAGACTCAGTAAACTCTCCTCTCCTCTCCACCTGCAGGAGTGTATCCAGCTCTGTCGCTCTGACCTCAGCGCCGAGGTGCCCGTCGACTCCCTCCTCCACCCTCCTCCTCCTCCGTCAGACCCTTTGTCCCTTGCTTCCCTATCCCTCTTATCCTCCACCTCCTTCCCCTCATCCCCTCAGGCCAAGCGCTCCTACTCCATGGAGCACTTCCGCTGGGGGAAGCCTGTTGGCCGGAAGCGCCGCCCGGTCAAAGTGTACACCTCCAACGGCGTGGAGGAGGAGTCAGCGGAGCTCTTCCCTGGGGAGATGAGGAAGAGGGAGCTGGCCAGCAGGATGATGGAGGCAGCAGAGGAGGGTGGGAAGGCCCAGCAGGAGGCAGAAGAGGACGAGGAGCTGGTCCCCGGGGACGTCCACGAGAAGAAAGACGGCACCTACAAGATGAGCCACTTCCGCTGGGGGGGCCCGCCGGCCGTCAAACGCTACGGCGGCTTCATGAAGAGCTGGGACGAGCGCAGCCAGAGGCCCCTGCTCACACTCTTCAAAAACGTCATCAACAAAGATGGACAGCAGGAGAGGGAGCAGTGAGGGGGGAGGAAAGGGAGGGAGGAGGTAGAGAGAGGACGGAAATAAACACACATTGATTGTCACTGCCTTCCGAAAAGACCCACTTTTCTGATTCCCTATCAGCAGGCAACCCTGTCTCCTAGAAATTACACTAATGCAACAATACGTTTTTTAATATCAATTCATCTGTGTCTTGATAATAGTTAGGTCTACAAAATGTCACACAGTCTAAATAGACCTTGTCAAATTTCTTATTGGGTCCAAAACCAAAACATATTCAGTTTGCAATTATATAAAACTGAAAATAGCATTAAATGTGCACAATTGAGACTCTACAGCTAGGAATCTTGTTTGCTCAGAACATATTTAAACAGGGATTTGACTGACACTAGTTCATTAATCTGGTGGAGACCCTGAGTCCTGCAAAGGCTCAGCTTCAGAGGCACTTTGGCACTAGGTGATTTAACAAAAATTGTTAACAGATTTATTTTTTAAATAAGATAATGTTTCCAAATAATTGAGACATATTTCCCCCTCCCTTCAATTAAGCGTTGTGTGTGACTTCACATACATGTTTTATAACATGTTGGCTGTTTTACAAAAGTCATTTAATGTAACGTCATTTCTAAGATACAGGGTGAGAATAAGAAGGCTTCGTTTGTCAGTGTCTTCTAAATCCGTTTGATTCATATGAGAGTTTGCTAGATGGTTGTTATTATTGTTCTCATGATTGAATGTTGACTCTCAGAAGGAAACATAATGTTCATCCCGCTGTCATTCTGCCTGTCAGTCACTTCACCGCAGGGACTGGAATAAGAGAGAGTCAGAAAGAGAAGAACATGTTTTATATATTGATTCATGTAAATAACTGTAAATCACATGAAAACATAAAGGGATTTGCAAGCAAAACACATGAGAGATGTTTCCTTTACTATCTGTCGATCATGACTTTTACATGTGTGTAGTAGCATAACACGTCCACAAGAGGGCAGCACCGGATTACAACTGCACGCACACATGAGAAGAAATCGAAATGGTTTTATTTCTGACTCTTGCATAAGAGTGTTTTCATACTTTGTGTCACTATAAGAATAGTAAGCCATTAATACTGAAATTATGAAATCCTTACCTGCCCCTGAGGCAAACTGTTTTCAACAAAGCCAGCAATATATCACTGGATTTATTCTTGTTGTTATATATATGAACATAATATATCTTTAAAAAAATAGGGGAGCTACTTCAAGTAAATAGTGTTTTAACTAATAGATAAAACCATAAAACGTACAAAGAAAACGTATACCAATTGCTTTTTTCTGTATTTTGCATTTATTTACTTAACAGAAATCTGTAGATTGGATAAAGCCAGGTTTCAAATTCTTGTTATATTTTGTTGACTTATTAAAGTGAACAGGAGTTATTCACAGAGAACATTTTCGACAGATCGTTGCATAACCCTTAAATAAGGAAGGAATAAATCAGAACATGTTATCAACAGTAAAAGAACAAGCCTCTAATTAAAAACCTTCCTGATATAGATAAGAATGAATGTTGAATTGTGTTGTAAGTGCTACTGATAGAAGTTGCACCTGTTATTCAGGAGCGATAACCATTCATACTCATGGGTTAATAATTGGGGGTTCATTATTTTGCCCAAAGACATTAGCGGGCCATGGATTGAACCATCAACCTTTCAATGGAGGACAACAGCTCTACCTTCCCAGAGTCTGAATGTCTAATTAAGATGTGAATGCAGGATATCATGTTAGCATCTAATCAGGAAGTCAGATTGGGCAGCAAAAGTCTTGGGCGCGCTTGATTTATGGGCACTATGGATGTGGTAGATTACTGTAAGATCCGTGCATTTTTATACCTTGTCACTATATACTTACTATCACTATATACTTGAAGTTTTTTTTAGCAACTTCCATGTGAACCGGGCTCTGTCTCGAACACTTCAACCAGAACTCTCTATAATATATCCATGGTATGTGAGAGGCGAGCAATTGTCATTTGACTGAATATGCGCCATCTTTGGGTCCAGAGTTCAGTTCTTATTTCACATCCATGGTGTGAGTTTGTGTTGGGTCCATGTGTTTCCATTACAATAGCATTCATAATTGCAGCTCTAATCAAGCAATGTTCTGTGTAAATATCCAAATAGGCACATTTTCTGGTAATTGTACTGATGTTAACTCTTCACCTGGACTCTGCATCTTCTTTTCTCACCTGAGTACGAAATATTACAACCTCAAGCAACTGCTGCCACCCCTCCACACACTTGGTCACACAGGCCAATGTAAATGTTACCCTAACATATTCTTATAGAAAGAGAAGGATGCAAAAATAAACTTTGATTTCTTTATTCCAACTGTCCAATCCAGCTCATCAAAGGGCTTCATCTATTTCAAATGTTTGCTTGAGTAGTTTTCAGCCACATATGAATTATTTCTACTTGAGTAATAGGATATGTTCTACTTTTATATTTTGGTTAAGGTACAGTAACACCACTCAATATTTAGCCTAGAGTCCCTACACTTATCCTTTATAATATATAACTTCCACAGCTCATACCACAGCAGTGCTCTCCATTCAAACAGTGGCATTGATAGTGCTGCTGGCCTGCCCCCTGCTGGTCAGAGGTATAACTGCTGCTCAGACTCCCAAAGAGGAAGGCACAGGTCGCCCCCATCACAGTCGGATCCAAGGCATCTCAAAGCCCCGCTGCTTGGTCTACACTGCTGCTTATCAGCCGGCCGCTAACAAACAGATTTGTCTGGGAACAAGCCAAAGGAGTCAAG